TCAAAAAGGCGAGATGGTTTGGCCGCTGGTTCAGGTTACAGGGGGAAGGACAACACATTCCTAGAATGCAGGAAGCTGGAGGTCAGCTGTGCAGCTCTGGAACCCATTGCCTCCTGAGAGCCTGTCATCGTTTGCCATCCTGCATGCCTGAATACCTTTGGTAGACTTGAGCCAGGGGTACGTCAATGTTACCAAACCACTGACACAGAAAAGACAATGACTACAGGGTCCTTGTACAGACAATCACTACAGGCTGTTCTCCACAAGAAAGGGTTGATTAGCCCAAGGGAGTGCATGCTTTTTTTGCCCCAATATTAATACTTATTTGTATTTTAATCCTTTCTTGTTTGAGTGGAATGAAATACTCCTGCAAGCATTCATCCTTCACTAGAGCAAAGTTTCTGTTGGCAGTAGTGGCATTCGCTTGAATGAAAAATGCAATCTTTGTCCTTCAAGTTTCCTTTGTATTACAGTTACGCTTGCCTTGCATGTGTCCTTATTAACCCAGACTGCAAAGATTTCTTATTTTAGCTTCCAGATTAAGAGCATGAACTCTTGAGCTGTGCTGTAAAGTGTCTTCCTGTACTTTTTTTTTTTTTTTTAAACTGATCAGAAGTGTAGGACACCTGAGTCTGTTGAAAATACATAAATAACAAGCAGTTTTATTGTATCTGCCATCAGGGTATCATACCACCTATGGCAGCTATTTGCTGTTACCTGATCTTTCATACTCTGTGCCAACAGTACTGCATACGCAAAACATAAATAAATAGTAAATCTTTGCGCCAACAAACTTTATATATAGGGAAAGGGGGGGAAAAGGTGCAGGAATTGAGAGGGAAATATTTCCAAATAGTTTCTGATACCTCTAAATTCAGATAGTTGAAAACCAAAATGCCTTGAAGTTTTGTACCGGCTCAAGTGGCCAAAACACCGTGTCTGACATTTCCTGACCCAGAAGCCTCTGCTTGATCCCTGTGTGGCTGCTGTGAGCCTTGGAAAGGTTCAAATGATTGATCTTCTGATGGACATGTTTCCCACTGCAGCTGTGGTGAACTACACTCATCCTTCACTTGGAGGAAGAGGAGAGGGGCTAGGGGAGGCCATTGAAGGGGAAATCTTCGTAATAATCTGTGAGCTTAGTTCCTAAAATGGGACTGCGTTGGTTTTGGCAGTCACCTCGTGATGCAGGCAGTGTGAGAGGTGGTGAAGAGTCTTCAGGTAACAATTAACTTCAACAACTAACTTGAATTTTGTCATGAGGCTTCACCCTTATTTAAATATTTTGTTTGTATTGAAAAAAGGTTAGTTGTAGGTAGGTGAGGGTTGTGGTTTGTTTTTTTTTTAAATACATGGCTATCTTGGGTTTAGATTGTCAAAATAGAGCAGAGTGCTAACTTTGGGATTTATCACAGTGACTTAGTAGACTTGTTGGCCTCTGCATACTAAAAGACTACGTTTGCAAGAAACCAAATGGAGCCAACTCTCCCTTTGATGTGCTTTAATCATTTAAAGAACCCATTGTCCATTAGAGGTAAAAAGATTAGCAACTTAGCCCCACTACTGCTATGACTAACAACTTGGCACTGTGTTACCAGCGCAGCGAGCTGTGCTGTATCTCCAGCCTTCTGCAGTGTGAGACTGCGGGGGGAAGGACGTCTTTCAAAATGTACGTAACAAACAGGTTTCCATGCAGCAGCCCAGAGTGTCAAGGGGTGTCCAAAGAAAGGACTTCAAGCTGCTTTGAGGGGTAGGATGTGCAATGTCTCTGTCATAAACCTGATCATTTTGTTATGAGATTAGCTGTTTGGTTTGTGTGTCATAGTAGGTTTCTGCAAGAAAGGTGGAGAAACGAGTTTGATCTGTTTTGTTGCTTCTGTTTTCTGGCTCTGGCACCACAGGGCAGTTGTGAGGATTGTGGTCTTGTAGACATACTTAGATGATGCAGAACCTCTCAAAACCCACAGCTGTTTTTTTTTTTCTTTAAAACCAGTGCCAAATGAAATGCCTTCCTGATTTTTCTTTTATTAATGCACTTTAACTTTGTTTAAATGTGTTCCAAAATATCGAAGTTTTAACTACTTATTGGTATAGCTTTTAGTTCTCCTTTTGCAGTAGGTGATTCTGAGATTCTGTGGACAGTTATTATTTAAATACTGTGTGTAGGATCCTAGTGTTGTACTGCTCCCATAAAGCAGAAAGACTAGCAAAGCACATTTCACCTCACAGACTGAAATCTTGAAAATGCCTGTACCCAAGTTGAATGTTACTATAAATAATCTTCCAGTAAATCTCTTAAGAGGTCCATGTCTGTGGGCGAATTAAAAATCTGGGGATTTGACTTTCTTACTCCTTTTTTACTGTCTTCTGGGTGTGATTACTGCATGTGGAACCTTACTGAAACCTGCAGTGTGCTTGTCGCCTGCCTTGGCGTTGCAGGCAGTGCTGTAATCAAACCCCTTTGATATGTGCCTTTGCAGTGTATACAGTGATGAAGGAGATTAAGTCAAACCCATGCAGTTAATTCTGGCAGGTCATGCCCTGCCTGCCACAAAGGAATTAAAATGGAAGGCAATCACATGTTAACAGCATCCCTGCTTTCCTGAAGCATTTTAGAAACTTGTCTCTCTTCACTGCTTAGCTGTCTCTTAACTTGCTATACCACGAAAGCTTGTGGAAGCTGGCTGACAGTCCAGAAGGCGGAACAGGGTTTTAAATCCAGCTCTCCTGTGGCTGCATATTTTAAGGATGCTTGCTTCATCTGAGTGCTGTTCCGAGCATCCCAGGGGCTAATATCACCATTCTTAGTCAAACCAGTACCTGAAGTCTCAGTTGCAGCACTCAACATCTGCAGTACAGTCAGGAGAATCCTTGTGCAAGAGTTTCTCAAATACTGTGGATTAAGGCTGAAAAACATATTTCTCTCTTGCTCACTATTGGATTTAGCTATTGCTTTTTAAACCCCTTAAGTAACAGAGCCAAGCTTCTTGTAGCGAATGAGCGAATATGCATGATCCTTGGCCCAGACTAGCTCCATTGGCTTGAACTATCTGCAAAGACAGGGCTGATAATACTGTGAAATCACAGCAGTAAAATCCCGTAGTGTCTGCCTCTCTGAGTCTGAAAAGAGGAAGCTGTGGGAGCTTGCATCAAAGTTAGGAATTACGGAAACAGCTGTAGCCCCATGGAGTTAGCAAGGTCAATGTAGACACAAAAGGGATGAACAATTAGAACAGTTGAAAGTTTCTCCCCCACAAACGTGATTGCTCTCTCACAAATTGGGTACATTGTTGAGAAAGCTGGAAGGAAAACAAGTACTTCTCTTTGAAGCATAAAAGGTCATAGACTAAATCCTTAGCCTTACTCTTGTCTGGGGTAAAAGAGCCAGGATGTGATAAAGGGGATCCAGAAGATAACAGATGAGGTTATGGTGGAAGCCTCTTGTCTTCTTTCTAAGTGCAGACAGCTGCTTTCCTAAAATCACCTCCCAAAGCGCTGTCAAAAGGAAACTGTATGGTTTTACCTGTTACCTGCCATCAGAAGTATTTCACATACATTTCAATCATACACCAAAAAGTGAGAAAAAAGTCATATGTGATTTTCTTTTGTAGATAAAGAAGACTATGTAGTTATTGTGTGATGTGATTAGGGTTTTTTTGTTAGCTTCTAAATTAGCAGCAGATTTGCCAGAAATACAAGGGAATGCAACAGTATTAAAACTATTTGTTAGCAACTTTTCTTATATACCTGGAATGTGAGTTTTGATCTGTTTGCATTTCCAGCATCTAAGTTGCCAAGTATTTGAAATGCTATAGCTGAGGCATCTAGAAAACGTCATCACCACTTGTTGATTTATGAGAGGCTGGTTATAGGCTTAGCTTAGCACCTCTAGGAAGCTGTAGGTTAGTCTGGGCAAGGATGGGAAAAAATGCTGCACTACATGGTGTTTCAGATCTATGAGGGATAACGTATCCGTAGCCACCAATCTGGTAACTTGTACAGGTCTCATTTCTGTCAAACTTCTGCCCTGTGGTGATCAGCTTGCACAAATCATCAGCTGGTGTTCTGGGGTCCCCAGACACTCCCGAGTGAGAAGTTATCACTTGCCATGTGTTGAGTGAAACCCTGATTTGCTCATGTGAAATAAACCCATGGCTGCATGTGCACAGATGGGTGAGGATGGGATTATTCAAGGGCAGGTTATCCTGTCTGTGCTAACGCAGTAGGAGATTAATGAAGGAAGGATTTTGCTGTTAAAAATGACCCACTACACTTCTTCCACATGCATAGACACTGTCTGTAGTGCAGTTGGAAGTCCAGAAGGATGCTCTCAAGCTAACCGTAGCCGGTCCAGATCAACTGTCCATGTAGCAAAAACATGGGAGCACGGGCACCAACTGTTCACCTTCAGCCCTTGGTAAGCTTGTACGGCCTGGGATGAAATCTCTCTTCTTCCATTTCTGCTGCGCTGCTGCTGTTCAACCCACAGTACAGTTCACCCTCCGTGTTGCAATGTGGACAAAGCCTCAGCAGCCAGATTCGAGCCAGCAAGCTCTTCTGTTTGGATCGGAATAAAAGAGAGGCAGTGTGGCACCTGGGCCAGCCCCGAGCTTCCCTCTCGTAGGTGCTCCGCTGCCGGTGACGTGCAATACCTCTCACCGAACCTGAGCAGCTGGCAGGCGTGGAGATGGTGCATTACACAGCTCTAGTTCAGATGCTTGGTCTTCACAAGGGTGGGATTTGTTTCTAGCAGTGACATGGCACAAAGCGAGGTGCTGTGTGAATTACTGCTCTCTGTTGTACCTATCAGAGAGTGAATTCCCTCCCTTTTTAGTTTGTGTTTCAAGGCAAAATAGCTGATTCTTTTGTGTGGACAGATCAGTCTGTTGAAGCCTGACACTTAGTGTTCCTTATGAACCAGAATGGAGAATGTAATTATCTTTAATTACTTTGATTTTCCTTTGCACATTCTAAATCCCCTTGGGTGTCTCTTGGAACAGGCCCAGAGCCCTTGGCTTCCCCACTATGGAGCAGTTGATATCTATTTTACTGGCATGACTGACTGTTTTCGACAAACTGTGAAGAACAAAGGTGTGCTTGGACTTTGGAGTGGGCTCACACCCAGTCTGCTCAAGGTGAGGTTTTGCTTTCATCCCAGTCAAAGACTATCCTGGAGTAATCACAACAGGCTTTTGGACAGTTAGGGTTATAAAGCTTGACATGCCTCTGTACTTATTAGCAGGTTGTAGACAACAGAGTCAGTGATAGAGCAGGTATAACCTCAGGCAGATTATAAACCGGCTTCGGAACCTGGTTTGGTCGTATTTCCCCAGATCTAAGTTGGGCTTCTAGATGTCCCTACTTTCAAGTTCATTTGAATGGATGTCCTTAGAGAAGGGAGTGCTGCTAACACACAGGGTAGGGTATGGATGGGGGATTCCAAGTGATCCACTTAGGACAGCTAAACGAGTTCTACTTCTCAGCTGAGCTCCAGTAATTTGCTATGTTGTACTGAGCTGTAAGGAAATTTGCATTTGTAAAAGCCACCTCTCCAGAAGTCAGCTCTTTAATGCATGTATATCGGTTACTCAGTCCTTGCTGAGTTGAAAGCAAGGAATAAAGCTCAGTAGCTTAAACAGAAAATAATTTAATTTACATAAATACACTTTATAGTGCTGTGGTGAGGATTACCTACATGGAGTACTATAGCTCAGCTAATGAGTGGTAATTGAGTGACAATGTGATTGATTGGGATGGCTGGCCTGTGCCTGGCCCCACCTTGCCTGGCATAAAGCCACATGGCACCGGAGCTGCAGATTCTGCAGGGGGCTAAAGAAGAAAATTGTTCAGTCTCTCTGCTGTATGTATACTTCCTTCCAGGATTTGCTGAGGTTGTTTAGGATTTGCTTAGGTATTTGACAAGATGTGATAATGTATAGACTAGCACAGACCTTGTTCCTGGCAATATTGTTATGGTTAGTTAGGTACCAATAAGGAACTGCTACTTTAGGCATGCTGCAGGTACCAGCCTAGTTTGAGGTGAGACTTTGATTTTATATAAATGGGCACAACTCTATTAGCAGATCAGATTTAATCCTAGAAACTTCCTTTTTTAAAACATCTGAACTAAAAATGCTACTAGTGAGTCTGATACTGTGGTTTTATCTTATGTTGTGGTTTGTTGTTTGTTTCTCTTTTTTTTAACTTTATCAGATTGTCCCGTACTTCGGTGTTATGTTTAGCACCTTTGAATTCTGCAAGCGGGTTTGTCTGTATAGAAATGGTTATATTGAATCTCCTTTAAATTACAAGCTAACTCCTGGTGTGGACCAGAGTTTACAGCCACAAGAACTGAGAGAATTAAAGCTCCTCCGAAGGGGAAATTTTGAGCCAAGGAAATCAGCTCTTGAAAATTGACATCAGAGTGACCATTGCAGATTAACACACTACCTTTCTTAAGGAACTTTGCAAGAAAGACATGTTGAACTACAGGTACCAGCGTCTGAGCGGATTGCATGGTTTTGGTACTGAAACATGAGTGCCAGGAGTGTGTAAGTCTCATATCTCATTTGCTGAACGGATATAAACAATATGAATGGCAAGCATATACTGAAGAGGTGCAACTAGTTTGAAAACACTACTGGAACTTGATATTACATTATGCCAGGTGCTTTTCAATACTGAATAGTCCTGTTGAGATAAAACCACTCACAGAAAGGCAAGAGAACTGAGATGAGAGTATAAAAAAATCTTTTAAAATATTAAGAAAATTCAAATGGGTATTTTTTAGGTAATCTGAGTTACCAAGTCTGCCAAGAATTATAAACTGACTAGAACATATACAGCATACAAGAATTTCTACTGAAATCTCTATTTTTAGTGATCCGGTGTGAACGAAGTATTCTGCGGGCGCAGGACTAGTCTCAGTTCAGTCACACTCCAGAATCCGCTCTTCAGTTTTTGAGACTTACTTGAGAATAATAATTTTGTATGAAACTTTGGCATAAAGAGGAAAACATGCTGCTGCAACTATGCTTTTGCCAAGAAAGAATTGTAACGTGCAAAACGAACTTTAATACACTGGAATGACAATCTTGCAAACTTAAGTGCACACTAGAAAATCTTCCTCCCTTTCTCCTATGTTGTTGCTACGTGTACATGTATTATTCCAGGCTTTGAAAAATAGTTTTCCTGAAGTTCTCTAACTGAAAAATTTCCTGGAAAATGCAGTTCTTAAATGTGTTAGATATTTCAGAGCCGCAAGCCTTGTCACATTGTGGTATTCTTAAAGCTCTATTTTTGTATTAAACTACTTTTTTATTCCTGTGCACAGACCCAGGGCCACTGCGCTGCTCAGAAATTGCCAGCAGAATAGCACTGGGCACACAACCTGTGATTTTTTCACTTCAGCTGCTGTGATTCACGAGCCACAGATAATTTCTGTAGATGGAACCTCTCTACAAGACCACTAGGTTATTGCCAATGCCAATGCAATTGATTGGCCTCTGACCAGTCTAGGGAGCATTTGGACAGCAAAAAAATCATCTTGGTATTACACCTGAGGACCTCCGGTTCCTTTGTAGAAGTACAGCTATGGAACAGCCCCATCCTAGTGCCTTCTGAGAGAAAACCTTGAACGCCAAGTCCACGTGGGAAGGTGGCTCTGCCCTCTGCGGCGTCTCACCAGCCTCAGGTTGTGGCAATGCCGGAATCGCAGCAGCTTGGTGAGGCGAGTGCACGCTCCTGCCCCACTGCAGCACCCTGGGCTCTGCACAGGATCCGCCTACTGGTTTACACCCCTTTGCGTGTGTGCTTTTGTACTGTTTGCGTCCCTGCTGAGTGGAAGCAAGTAAATCTCAGAAACTGCTTGGTTAGGCCAGGAGCATAAGGCAATGGCAGGTTGATGCAGGAACGGTCTGTGACTATGGAGGGAGATCTGCAGAAAGATTTGGGAAAATTGTTAAGGCCTGCCTTCCACCTAGAACCCGATGGTGATGTTCCCTGGAGCTGACGTCTTGCAGTATCTCTCGTAACGGGTTTGTTCAGTTCTGCTGCAGTGGTGCTTCATACTGGTTTTCTTCGTGGAAAAGAAAGCATCAATAGCAAAAATGAAGATGGTAGGGAGGAGATCTGGTGGTTCATGTATCACACTGAGGCTGTAAGTGCTTTTGGCTCTCTTATCAATGTGCCTAGTGAATGTGTTTCTCCGTGCCTCAGTTTCCCATCTGCACAGTGCAGGTCATAATACTGTATGAATTAGCAGATGTGACTTGTGAGCATGTTGTGGAGGAATGGATTTCTAAAGCGTGCCCTTGCCTTGTCCAAGCATACCTGTATTTTTTTTACTAATACTGTATTTCTAAATAGATTTTAAAGATTGAGTGATGGGTGCACATGAATGTCTGGTCAGCTCTTCAAACCTGGTAAGAGTCAACTGAGTTAAAAAGTTACCTCTAACTTGTTTCTGATATGCTAATAACACCTTTGTATTGTAATGTACTCCTACGACCTATAAATCACTTACTAACCTCTTATCAGCCAAGCCTCTAGTTTGTGTAATCACATCTGTGCGTGAGAAATCCTCCAAAAGGCAACGCTAAAATATTTAAGAAACAAAGAGCCTCTGCAGGGGATCACTAACATGTGAAATGGTCTGTGGTCCTGAAGAACGTGAAGCGATCATGAGGAATGATCGGTGACTACAAGGCTCAGTCACAGAGACAGCTCTTGGGTAGGTGACTGTAACTCAGGTGGCGTTGGATGCAGGTTGGGGCGTCGGCGGCATCGTCAGCATGGGGACAGGAGGGTCTCCGGGGG